AGGTAACTAAGGCAGCCATCATTTTCCAGCCCAGTTGTACCAATACGCTGGGGAAGCAGCCCCATGTGTTTGTGTGTGTGCGTGTGAGACAACACTGCTTCTCCAGGCTCAACTCCTCAGGTCCCATCAGCTGTGTAATGGGGATGGCAGTGGCCTTGCCTGTGCAGTGAGAAGACTTCTGCCAGGCCCTGCTTACCTCATACGCCCTGCTCTGTACTGGGCACCTCCACTCAAGCCCATCTTCTCCAGCCCCAAACTCCATCTTATCCCATATTTGCTATCCTGGGAATGACACCACCATCTATAAAATCATCCAACCCCAAACCTGGGACCTCCCAAACACTTCCCCTAAACTCTCCTCTCAAGCCCATCAATCTCCACTTGTATTGTCCTTGTCTGATTACAGTCGGATGTGTCACCTGCTGTTCTACAATGATCCGTGAGGGTTAGGGGCCATGTCCCCATTCTTCCCACTGTATCCCCAGAGCCTAGGATAATACTTGGTAAACGTACAAATTAATGAAGAAATTAATGTTGAAGGTGAGTACTTGCCCAGAGACAAAATTGTAAATTTTGCACAGGCCCTCCTCCGTCTGAGTATCCCCGTTTTCAGGGGCAACAGCCCTTCACTCTTGTGGATTGAGTTGATGAGTGTTTACTGGGGCTACATTTCAGGCAATGTGCTACCTCGGCCCGTTGCACCTCATGTGCAGCCTGCCAAAGGGAATATCAGGCATTAGCAAACATACATGCGTGGAGGGCTCCTTGCTTCCCTGGGACAGGCCAGCTCCCACTGCCTGCCCCATTGCAGACCTACTAGAGGCAACAGAGCCCACCAGGGTCAGGGCTCCTTGGGATCAAAGCATCTGAGCCTTAGAGGGCAGTGGACCTTTGGCTTAGAAAATGAGACTTTCAACATTTCAACCAGGAGGAAGCCAGGCATCTGAGTTATAAGAGAAACATGTTGCCTGAGGTGTGATCTGACCCATGCACCACAGGTTGGGGTCCCTGAGGGTGGCACAGCCGGTTCCTAAGCCTGGCTGCACACACGTGCCAGAGGCACTTCTCGGTCTCTATGTCTGTCCTATACGCAGTCACTTGGTGAAGTGAGAAAGACAACCATAGAGAAAGCTGGACAGTGGTTAACTTGTGGTGCACTGATGCCAAGGACGTGATGGTTCTTGGTGGAAATGTGCTTTCTGGAGAAAGCCAAGAGCCCATAGAAACATTTGGGTATCTACGAACTTGATTAATGAAACTCTCTGTTCTTCCCTCTTAAAATGTCAAGTGAGCAAAATTCTTAGAAGTTGTCATGAGACTCTCCACCCAATGGCAGGATCCCTAGAACACCTCTGCTGGTGGGGCACCCTTTGTCCGCCTCCAGGGTGGGACCCCCGGACCTTGTCACAGAGTCCTGACCACAAGGCTGTCCTGGGCCCTTGGAATTCCCTCTGGACTGAGCTGCCCCAGGGAGGGTCAGGACACCCTTTGACAGTGCTTCCACTGTGGCATGGGCCTATTTTGATAGGATCTGAAAAACAAACCATTACTGTTAAACTTTTTTTTAACCAACCAACTAGTGTTTAAAGCTGACCCCTCGTACTCCCTTTTCCCAGCCTCACCTTCCCGGTGGGGCTCAGAGGCGGTGTGGGGGCTGGATCTGGGGAGGGGTTAAGGAAGGCTGACACAGAGAAGGCTGTCTGGAAACAGGAGTGTTCAGAAATAGGTCAGCGTTACGGGTTGAATTTTGTCCCCACAAAATATAGGATGAAGTTCTAACCCCCAGTACCTGCAAATAGGAGCTGAATTGGAAATAAGTCTTTGCAGGTATAATGAAGTTATGATGAGGTCATTAGGGCCTAATCCAAGATGGTTGGTGTCCCTATAAAAAGAGGGAAATGCCACGTGAAGATGAAGGCAGAGTGCGGGTGATGCATCTCCAAGCCACAGAGCACCAGAAGCTGGGGAGAGGCCGGGAGCCAAGTCTGCCTCACAGCCTCGGAGGGAACCAGCCCTGTTCATGCCTTGATTTTGGGCTTTCAGCCTCTGGAACTGTGAGAATAAATTTTTGTTGTTTTAAGCCACACAGTTTATGGTACTTTGTTACAACAGCCCTAGCAAACTTGTACCACTGGCAAGAGAGTCAGATGCTGGCACAGGCATCGAGGGAGGGCCAGTGGTCCTCAAACTTGACCATTTAACTGAATTGCCGGGGGAGCTTGTTAAAACACAGTGCTGGGCCCCACCCCAGAGTGGCTGCTTCAAAATATCTGGAGAGTTGCGCAGGAACGTGCATTTCTGAGAACCACTTTGAGAACCACTGCTCAAGGGGCTGGTGTAGCCTGGGCATTGGACCTGCTGGCCCCAGGAATAGAGCTGTACAGCCCCACTGATAGCTGTGCCAGCCCACTTAGAAAACATCAGTGGCCGCAAGCAGTTTTCATTTTAAATGATTTCTTCAGGGGTTTTTAAAAATATATCTTTATTGATTTCAGAGAGAAGAAGGGAGAGGGAGAGAGAGAGAGATAGAAACATCAACGATGAGAGAATCGTCATTGATCGGCTGCCTCCTGCATGCCCCTGAGCCCGTAACCCGGGCATGTGCCCTGACCGGGAATCGAACCGCGATCTCCTGGATCCTAGGTCAGTGCTCAACTGCTGAGCCACGCCCGGCCGGGCAATTTCTTCAGTTTTAAATTATTTACACATGTGTTGATTCATGGGCTCCCACAATAACCCCACGTAGTAGATATTATGGTCCCCAGAAAATGAGGCTGGGGAGGGGGTGACTCCTCAGCAGGACTCTTCCTCCTGACACCCGGAGCTCAGATTCTGCGCTCGGAGCCGGCCTTGGAACACTGCTGGCTGGTTCAGCCCTCAGAACCCAGGTTTCCCGTATCTTTGTAAATCACACCCATCATCACCTTGCCTGAAGAGCAAGCTGTCGCCATCCATCCACCGCCAGCACTGCAAACCAAAGGTGCTATTCGGGCTCCTTTCTCCCTCCCACCCACTGTGGCCACTTCCCCACTGGCTCTAACGACCTGGATCCTCTTTCCTGATCCTCTTTTGTTCCCAAATGCTGTCAGAATTTGACTTCCTCCGTCCCGCTCTCACATGCTCTTAACAAACTGGCCCCACGCTGCTGTGGAGCTGAGAAGCCGGCGTGCAGGGTGGACAGGGAATGAGAAACGCCTGCGAGGGTGGCCGGGAAGAATTTGTAATGCCCCGAGTCGGACAGCCCTGCTTGCCTGAACCCTCTCCCGAGAGGGTTCTCCTGGTTGTGAAGGCAGCTCTGGTTGTCACACCTTGTCACCGGGCAAGCTGGCCAGGCCCCTTCTTACCCCTTCCATGCCCTTTGACAAGTGCTGGGTTGATGCAAACTGGGTGGGAGTGTGAGCTTTGAACCCCAGGCAGGTGTGGGCACAACTGTTGGGCACCTATGAGAGTCACTCAGAGAGGCCAACACAGGGCGCGGAGGTGAACCTTGCAGCTGAGGTTCCACATCTTGAATCCAAAGGCCCAGGAACAGGATTCCACATCCTCAGAGTCTTGACTCCCCACCTCCCACAGGCCGGAAGTGCCCCCCCAGGGGGCGCTGGCCATCGCATGCCCAGGACTGGTGTTCAGTGCTGAGACCTGTCTGGCCACAGCCATCCACAGCCACCTGTCTATAGGTAACCCTGGGGCCCGGTATGCTCCAGGCCCACAGACCAGTGGAGCCAGAGGTAGGGGCAGAATGGAGGAAAAGTGTGCCCAGAACTTTGACGTAAACCACTGAGGACTTTATGGGCTGCAACATATCAGACTGCATGAGGGGGATTATCCAACCAGTGAGAATGGGCTGAGCACTAGCCCGGTACAGGGGCAGAGAGGAGAGGGCTCAGCACTCACATTTCTCAGGAGCTTACAATCTAGGTGGCACCTGAGAAAATCCCCCTGGAGAAGGCATGGTGTAAAGCTCTTCTAGGAAGTCAGGTGCCCAAAACACAGTCAGAAATGTCGAGATGCAGGAATCAGATCAGGAACAGAAGAGGGTCGTGACGGGACAGGGACCGAGGATGACTTCACAGAGGATCTCTTCTGAAGTTTGAGGGGAAGGGGAAGGGAAGAAGAGTGGGGGGCTGTCCAGGGCAGGAAAGGCTACTCTGAGGACAAGCAGGGTGGGCTGTGGCCCCTGAGCCAAGACAGACAAGTGCACTGGCCCTGCTGCTCCCTGCACTTTGGCAGAGACATACGTGTGTTTTATTTTACAAAATGCAAAATCGCCCAAGTCAAACTGCTCCGTACATTGCTTTAAACTCGGGAAGGTGATCTAGTGTAAACAACACCTAAGTGGATCAGCCCTTTCTGACGTGCATAGATGAAAAACCCGTGCCTGTTCTTCTGACTTTCTTCCTTGCCCCAACGTTGCTCCCAATTACAGTCACAGGCAACACATTCGTGTGATACACAGTCCAACTTTTCAAGCAAAAGTTAACAGAGTCCCTTTGCCCCACCCGACCCCTGAGTCATCCAGGCCAATGACTTGGTTCATCTTCCCTGTGTTTTCCGACCTTTTCAGGAAAACTTTGTCATTTTTTGTAAATGTTAACTCTAAGACCTTACTAATTTTGGTTTGGAAGGAGGAGTATTTGCTCTTTACAACATTTTGCTTCCCCAAATTTGAAATATAGTCTAAGTAATTGACCTAGTACTCAGCCAGCGATTTTGTGTCTGTATTTACTGTGAAGGTGTTCTTTTCCCAGAAGAAACAGCAATGCTTCAGAGGCTGGGAGCTTCACTGTTATTTATTACGATGTGTTGGAGGTGGGTTCATCACGCAGCTAATGACCTTCAAGCTCTAGGGCTCCTCGCTCACCACCCAGGACTCTGTATCTAGTTCTGTATTTACTATTTTGTATTTTTTCTTAAAGGCCCCTTCCCCCTCAAAAAAAAACACTTGTATAAGCTTCAGGCCCCCAACCCTGAACCCCTCTCTGGATGCAGTTTTCAAACGGTTAGACTCGATTCTCGCCTAAGGACAGAGCCTCCAGCCTGGTGGCACTTTGTGTTTCTGAAGAAGTTCCCCTCAGTGGGCAAGAGGATGCTGCTGACTTTCTGGGTTTTAAAATGCCAAGGAGCCATTTCCTGTAACGTGTTGACGCAAAGAAGTAAATGATGGGGTCAATGCCACAGTTCATGTTCATGAGGGACACAGTGAGTTGAAGGGACACTTTGAAGGCCCTCTGCTCCGGGCAGGACGGCAGGTAGAGGACCTCTCGCACCATGAACTGGATGATGTTGAGGTGGTAGGGGCTAAAGCACACCACCACGGCGACCAGCACCACCAGGGTGAGCAGGCAGGCCCTCCGGTGGTGCCCTTTCTTGCTGGTCAGAGGGTTGTCCCGGGCTGTCCTGCACAGCTTCACCGTGATCTTCACGTAACAAAATAGCATGATCCCCACCGGCCCACAGAAGTTTAGGACACAGGTGACTAGGATGATTAGGGACAGCCTGAAGACCTTCTCAACGCTGACGTACTCCATGCAGGTGACCCTGCCCTCCACAGGCTTGGTCATGATCACGAAGAGCAGGGGCACCATCTGCAGGACTGCCAGGGCCCAGACGACCCCACAGACAAGCTTTGCTCGGCTGGCACTGCGGAGCCGGGGGCATTGGTGTGTGCGGACCACAGCCAGGTAGCGGTCCACGCTCAGGCACGTCATGAGGTAGATCCCCCCGTAGGTGTTCAGATAGAAAATGAATGCCGTCAGCCGGCAGAGCCCTTCACCAAAAGGCCAGCTGAAATCCAGCGCATAGTAGGTGATCTTCCCAGGGAGGGCCAGTGTGAACAGAAGGTCAGACACCGCCAGGTGGACCAAGTAGACACCTGTTGAGTTGATCTTCTTGCCCTTTTGACAGGCAAGGTAAAGGGCAAGGATATTTCCCAGGGCGCTGAAGACCAAGAGGACTGTGTAGAACACGCAGAGCGTCACGCTGGCTGCCTGGGGTAGGTGGTGGGGAGGACACAAGCTGGCATTGTGGGAGATGCTGCTTGGGTCGGCTGTGCTGGCAGCCATGTCATATGGGTCCTCGGGGAGACAAAAAATAAATACAATGTAATACACCTCTATATAGCAATAATTAATAATTTGCTGAGGCAACATGCACATGAAAAACATGTCTTTTTAAGTAAACTTTTTGTTGAAGTGTAACATACTGTTCCAGTTACTATTGCTGTGTAACAATCTACCCTTAAAATGTAGCAGCTTAAAACAAATGTTTTATGCTCTCTGGCAGGTTTTGAGCAGGACACTGTAAGAATGGCTTTCCTCTGCTCCTCAGTGTTGGGAGCCTCCTTTGGGAAGAGTCAGCAGCTGGGACTATTTGGAGGGGACTTCACTCAAATGCCTGTCAGTTAATGTTGGCTTTTGGCTGGAGCCTCAGCTGGGGCTATCAACTAAAGCATCTGCACGTGGCCTTGTCCTGAAACCGGGCTTCCTCCCAGCATGGCAGCCAGAAGATGATTAGATTCTCACACAGCAGCTTGAGGCTCCAAAATAAAGTGTCCCAGTAGCTGGGGAGAAGCTCCAAGTATTAACCACGTCTTTTATTTTCTGTTCTGATGCATTGACATCTTGGAGCCTTGCTGACCTTGGAGGGTCTGCCCCCTCCCTGGGTTAGCCAATTCCTTGAGTGTGCTTTTCAAATGCAAACCAGCCAATCCAGAGCCACACTTCAGCCATCTCTTTGTTGGACTCTCATACTCTGGGCCACGATCCCCCTGCCCTAATCGGCTGAGAGCCGGGGTACCCATCAGTGGCAGCCTCTCTGTTCCAGAGCCCACTGAAGTTATTCAAACTAGCCAATCCTGAACCCACCTACCCACCTTGCCTGTTCCTTTCCACAGAAACCACAATAAAGACTCTCGCTCTCACTTCCTCCCCTCTCCCTCTGTCTCCTGGCTGACCCAGTGCTTCCTGTGGGCCCTCTGTGATGTGGCATGTCCCTGCTTCTTGGAATCTCTGGGTAACAATGTTTTTCAACGGCAATTGTCTCCTGGCCTGTTGGCGTTACTGAACTTCAAGTTTTCCATTAATACACTGCGTCACCTTCCCTAGCCTCTCTTCAGAAGCTGTCGGTTAGAAGTGAGTCACAAGCCCACCCAGAGTCAAGAGAAGGGGACATAAGAGGAATGTCAAAGAATTTGCAGCCATTTTTAAATCACAACACATACACACAAAATGTGCACAAATCATAAAAGCATACAGTTGGTGATTTTCAAAAAGTGAACACAAACCTGTGCTTAGCACCCGGATTAGGAAACTCACCTCATCAGCTCCCCAGAAGCTCTCCTTCACCCCAACCCAACCTCCACTCAAGGGTCACCACTGTCCTAACTTAAATCACAACTCAGCCCAGCCAGCATGGCTCAGTGGTTGAGCATTGACCTAAGAACCAAGATTCCTGGTCGGGGCACATGCTTGGGTTTTGTGTTCGATCCCCAGTACGAGGTGTTCAGGAGACAGCCGATCGATGACTCTCTCATCACTGATGTTTCTGTGTCTCTCTCTCCCTCTCCCTTCCTCTTTCTGAAATCAATAAAATATATATATAAATATATAAATAAATAAATAAATAAATAAATAAATACTAAAATAAAATCACAGCTTGGATTCTTACCACATTTCTTCATAAAGCCCCTGACCCCAATTCTCTGAGCCCAGAGAATTAAACCTGCTCAGAGACTTTGGAGTCGCAGCCCTAGGTTGGCCTCCTGCCCACTTCAGGCCTGTTTCTTCCCGCAGCAGGAAGGGGCGGCTCTCCCTCGCAGCCCGCCCCACAGCTCCCACTGTGCGTCCTCATATTTCTCTCTTCCTCTCTCTCACAAACTCAACACACAGGTACTCACACACTCTCTCACACACATACCCCGTGGAGGTGCGACTTTGCACCCGGGAGTGGGCAGGCTGATGCTGTGGCCCTGGGAACTGCCCTGTGGAGTAAGCTCTAGGGGTCCCGCGAGTGCCAGCTGGGGAGGGCAGGCCCTTCTTCCTCGGTCCTTCCTTCCCTGAACAGGCAGCCCTCGGAGTCCGAGCAGGGCACGGAGAATCGTCTCATGGGGCAAGTTGAGCTCAGGAGGGCCCCAGCCACGGGTCAACTCACCTTATGAAATCAACTTTTCCAGTCACAGAGTGGCTACTGGACCCCTGGTTAAAAGCAATGTGTCCCTTCCCTGTTTCTTCAGGACTCACAGGGCACAAGCACGGGACTGGCTTTTGAGAGACAACAACCCTTGGCAATTGTCCCCCCTTCCTGACTTTCCAGGCCTCTTCCCCAGGACGCATCACCTGACAGCCTCACTCTGCCTGGCTCTCGGGACCTCAGGCCTTAGGGCTCACCCCGAAGCCCACTCACTGCTCACTCCCTCAGCCGAGGGTGCCCGAGCCTCTCCCTTCACAGCCTGGCACAACGCACAGCCCTTGGCCCTGCTAAGTGCCCCCTCCTCTGTGAAACCTCTGAAAAATTCACGAGCCCCTCCCCCCTCCGGGCTTGTGCCGCGCTTGATGGCAGCTCTCAGGTATGTGTCTCGTCTCACGGCGACGCCCTCCTCAGTGAGCCTCTGCAGCTTCAGTGCCCTGGGCCTAAGGCCTGTCCCGGTCCTGTTTTGGAATTGGGTGCAGAACAACTGCTCTTACCATGGGTCCTGCTGGAAGCCCATGGTCCCCCCCTTCCCAGAGACACCCACAGAGAAGTCATAGCCACACCCCGAGGAGGGTAGGCAGGTGCTGTCACACTGTGAGTCTAGTTCTGACTCTTTTCTTTCTGTTTTATCTCTGTGGCCCCCCCACACACACACACAGGCTGGGATTTAGGACATAGATGTGACTATCTAGCCACCAGAGTCAGTCTAGACAGATCAGACCCAAATTAGGAGCCCGAGAGAGAGGGTCACGCTCTAGGGGCCTTAATGCCTCTTAACTGCACTGCTTCCAGAAGGTTCTAAAGGTCACCCCTGAGGTCTGACCTAATGGAGCCAGCCCGGGCCTATCAGCAGGTTTGCCTCAGCGACTTGAGGTTGACACTGGCCTTCGGTCCCTCTGATCTGGCCTTCCGCCCAGACAGGAATGGCACGGCAGGGACATCTTACTCACTGACAACAGAAGCAGAAAGAGAGGGCATGTGAAGGGCAGCTACAGTCTGAGCCTTTCTCTCAGGGCCCCAGCACCCGCCTCATGTCCTGAGAAGACTCACCTGTGGTCCACTCACCTCGCTCACCAAGGGCAGTGCACAGGAAACCCAGCAGAGCTGTGGCCAGTGGCCAGCTGCCTTCCCCCGTGGCCCCAGAGCACCGAATGTGCCCTATGCCCTCCCCTCTGCAGGAATTGAATCAGTTCACCGCACTAGAATCCACACTCTTCCTCCCTTCACTCACCCACCCCTGCTGAAAATAAAAGAAGCAAAACAGAACAGGGTAGAATCTTCCTGCCACAGGACGTGCACCCTCAGCCACAAGACCTCCCAACCGGGCCTTGCCCCATGGCCCCCGTGAAGGAGGAAGGGAGGAAAGTCACTCTGGGGAGCTACTTTCCCTTCTGTTTCCTTTCTGTGCCCCACCCCCGCCAAACAGGGATTTAAACCATAGACATGTCTATCGATCCACTAGAGTCAGGAAATTCAAAAGCAGCCTCTGTTCTCCCCTCTCACCCCCCACACCCCCATGACTGGGAGTGAGGAGAGGGAAAGCAAGGGGATGATACCGCTTGGGACCACGACGAGCTCAGCCTCCTTGAAGGAAAGTAGAGGGGAGACACAGCCTGGCTCAGGACTTCCTAGATCTGGGGCCTTAATGGAGCCTGAGAGCTGCGTTTGCAGTCCCGAGGGCCCACCTTGCAGGGCTGGGGCGATTAAGCCAGGATGCTCCCCAGCAGGGCTGCCGCTCTTACCTGCCTCTCATCTCCCATAGAACGGTTTTCCCTACCGCACAGCTGGCTAATAAATGAGGCGTCAAGCCCATCCTTTGATGAGGACTGTGGCTCACTCCTAATGGTCATCTCTGGGGTGTGAGTGTGTGTGTTCTTTCTGAGGCTTTCTCCCAACACCTGCTGAAGCGCACTTCAGACAGCAGCCAGCTCTTCAGCCCGGCCTGAAACACTCTCTCCCAGCCCCCTGTGTTCCAGCGTGGCACCCCAGGTGCCTCAGTTTCCCCCATCCAGAATGTGGGTCAACATACTCCCCTACGTGGCCTCCCACTGAGGAAGGCCACAGGATCCAATTTTTCTCAGGTATAACCTGGGCACTAAAAGATGTCTGCCAAAGTTCCTGATCTATTGGAGAGTTTTATAAAAAAGTCCTTTCTTACCAGAAATTTACCATTAATTTTCCTCCTAGTGCCCCCAGAAGGAAGAGTTAATGCAGCTTCCAGAGCTGCCTGACTTATACATACTTCACAAACCCTAGGGGAACCTTCCTCTGTGTCCCCAAGACATTTAGGATTCTCCTATTAAAAGGTGAGACCTAGAAGGTCCAAGAAGGGTAACATTATACAATAGCCCATACGTTGTGTTCATTCATGATGCATTCAGTACGGGTGTACTGAGTGCCAACTTTGAGCCAAGCACAGCACTATAAGTGCTAGGAGGAAAAACATTTTTCTATACCCTCCTGAGTTTAGGGACTGGGGCCCCACCAATTAAACTGACAGAAGACAGATTAACCAGAGAAAAGACATACACATTTTATTTGATGTTAATAGTTTTACAGGGCACAGGAGCCTTCACAGAAAAGAAATGAGGACCCGAAGAAGTGGTTTAGGCCTCAGAGTTTACATAGCATTTTAACAGAGCAATAAGTTGTGGAGACTGACAAGACAAAGGAAGATAAATATATGGGGAAACCTAACGGAAGATCAGGACTGTTTCGTAAAGTTTGTCATGCAGAGTCCTCTCTGTTGGCTCTGGGATAAGAGTATAGAGTTCTCTCAGGTGACTGAGAGCTATTCTCTCCCTGGTATGGAGAGTGAAACACCTTTACAAATGAAATTTTATGTTCTCTTATAGAGAACCTAATTCTACAATGT